GATGCGGGGGACAGCGTTAGATTAGATTAAGAGGAATTGATAAATGGACGGAATGAATGAAAGGAAAGAGTGTATGAGTGAAGGTGGAAAAGAAATCGCCTCAAAATGGAGGAAAGACTAGAGACGGATCTCGAGGACTGGCAGAAAGAGAAACCGCAATCGCAAACTAACAACCAAGCGGGCGGCCAGCCCAGCCAGCCCAAAGTCGGTCGTTGTTGCTAGTAATTAATTTTGGTCTCGGAACAAGAACAAGCGACAATCGAGATAAACGAGGGGCGGGAAACGAGGGGCGTTAAAGCTGGATCGGATCCAGTTTGCAAGTTTCAGCAATTGCGAAACATACCTTCATTCTTGTTTCGGCAAGTCGGCCTGTCTTAAGTTGACTTGCGCCCCGACAGATGTTTGAGATGTCACCGGCTGTGTTCAATCTATCTATCAATCAAGCGATCGATAGTAGTAGTGAGAGTATAATATAATATAAGGCTCAGGGACCAGGACAAGAAGTTCATTCACTTTTTCAAAGAACTCCGGGTCATCAGCCACCACACGGGAGAAAAGGAAAGGGAGGACAGGCAGGCGAATTCAGGCAATGAAAGACTTGTACAAAGAGAAACTCGGATGGAGGCAACACCCCTTTTAGGAAGAACCGTAGAAGGCCTATGGAAGGAATGGAATCAAGAGGGAAGGATAAAAGGAATAAAGTTTTATGAACAATGAGAAGAGGGAAAAAAAAAGAATGTTGTTCAGAGAGAGAGTGTGTGTGTGAGAGAGAGAGAGAGAGAGACACGTCTGGTTGAGCAAGATGATGAAGGGAAAGGAGGGGCGGCAGTTGAAGAGTACTGATAATAAATCAGATGGAAGTGTCCGAGTACTAATAGGTAATAATAGTAATGAACTGCGCGCACCCTGTCGAGGGTTGACTCGATTGACAGAATCGATGGACTGGATGGGCAGATAGGGAGTGTTTCTTGCCCTCCTATTTTGTTTTTTCTGTTGCGATTTTTTTTTCTGTCTTCCCTTGCCTTTACTCAACTGGATCTTTTTTTTAGTCGTCCCAGAATTAACCACGGGTGAACCTGTAACGTGGATTGGAGGGAGGGAGGGGAGAGGTGGAGGAAAAGAAGTTCTGGATTGCGACAACGCAAGAAGAAAGTGGCCCGCTTTTTCCTTTGAAAGGGCCCCGCCCCTGAAGATGTCGATGTTGATAAGTTGCTGGACAATGGAGGGGATCCACGCGCAAACCGGCCCTGCGCCAGTGATGTGTATGGTTGCGTCTTATTCTTTTCCTCCTTGCGACAGTGGTGGCAGATAGAAGGTGGTGAACGAGATTGCAGATGGTTTGGAGAGAGAGAAGAGGCAAGAAGTCTGTCTGTCTGGATGGCTGGATAGCTGGCTGGATGGCTGGTGGCTTGCGACCCAGTGGATGGGAAGGTGGCCGTTGATCGATGAACTGTGGGGAGGAAACAGTGTGCACTGTGGACTGACTGACTCACTGATGGACTGATGGGACTCAAAGGACAAGCAAGATAGTTCGGAGGAGAGAAGAACGAACTGCTTGCTGGTAATGATGGTGGTGGTGGTGGTGGTGGTGGTGGTTCAACTGTGGCGGGAAAACTCCAGCTACCCCAAACCCGGTTGATTGGGTGTCCCCCCAGCCCTGTGGTCGCAAGGATAAAAAACTTAGAAGTAGGGTGTGGCAAGAAGGTCTGTTAAGCTGTTGGGTCTGTCTGTCATCATGCGATAGCCGTTACGATGATGGGAACTCGTCTCGGATAACTGTGGGTGCCGCCGATGATCGCGGGTCTCTTGTCTTACTCGTACTGGAGTGATCTACGTGAGTATGAGTATATGTAGTGATGTGCAGAAAACTGTATGGAGTACTCTCGTGGTCGACTTACATCAGCAGAAGAGAAACGACGACAGTCTTCACATTTAATCAGTTCCCATGTGGTTGATAGGACAAGTGATAGTCTATATGTATCTCAACAGAAAATTCTAGCAGACTACTAAGTCATACAACAAACGTACTGAGTAGGATGTGTGTGTGTGTGCCTCACTGCCTAAAGGCGCTCACCTCAAACCTGAGAAGCTCAGCTGCTGACCCCCCCGACGGTCCTTCAATTTAGATTCTCTCACCAGCGGATGTTACTCCCCGGCCCTGCTGCATGGATGTATGCCCTATTCTGATGCCTACCGGCCCTGTCTCCCCATCACCTTGATTCGGACCTACAATCAAGGCCCTTGACTTATTTTTTATTTGCTTTTTTTTTCTTCCCTTGAACAGAGAAAAAGAAGGGACCCCCTTCACTTTCTCTGCAGTGTGATCAACAACCCCCCCTGGACGGAGGTTGGGCACACCACACCGCACCAGTGCCAAACAGGAAGAACATCCGCAGTGGGATTGGATACCAACCAGCTCGTTGGAAAGATGGAAAATAGAAGCACAAACCCTTTTTCCCCGGGAAACTAATCAGGAGCCGAAGGTACTAGAATTGTTCCCAAGGACAGTCAGACCGTACTTTTCTCCCTCACCCACGTTGTGTGTACCGTATAAGTTACCGTGGACCAGACTTTTGGCTTATCGGAGAACGAAATCTGATAATATTAATTGGGCACTCCAGTCCGGGAACTGCGCAGTGGAGTGCGTTCGTCGGTCGGAGGTGGTCTGTGGGCAGGCTGTGGGCTGGGTGGCACTGGTGGCACTGGGGTTGCTGCGTGCGGGTGTGGCCTCGGCAGCTGTGAAGGTGACTTGACGACTCGGCTTGATTCGTTCACAGTTCACAATTCAACATCCTCAATAACCAAGACATCAGTATGAAATCATTATATCTTAGAGCATAGAATATAGTCAACAGCCAGCATAGTAGAAGACAGTCCCCCGAAGAGCCCCCCCGACACACGGTAAAGATCTACCTCGAATTCTGGTTATCAACCCAGGAATTCTTGGGTAGAGAGCCGGGAGGGACTTGCGACCATTCCTCGGTTGGCTCTTCTGGCTGATATGAGTGAGTGAGTGAGTGAGCTCGGACGGGGAACAGAACAGATGAGCAAAAATGCTTAAACTCGTGCCTTGCCATCCACGGATCACCAGAAACTCTGTTCTCGCCCATTTCCAGTCAGCTCAAGAAAAGGAAAAGGTGCAGAGTTAATCAAGCTTGTTTAGCCGGTCAACTTATCCGGTCCGAGATGGAATATTGGGATTAATTCATAATTGCGGGTGTACAGTACCGCACTGTACCTACGTAGTTGCAACTCCACTCGCTATCTAGTACGGTAACTACCGCCCTGGGGTTTGTGATACTTGACTTTCTTTTCCGATAATTTGGAAACTTGAGATATCGCCATGTGGCGACCTACACTTGAAACAAAATGACTCCTTGACTCTATCTGCTCTGAAATCCCTCAGGGACCAATTCAATTCTTTTCCCCGTCAAAGAAAAGTACTTCCTGAACTTCCTTCAGTGGGCTTCCCTCCCGAAGACGAACACTCGGAACCGCCGATTTCTGCAAGCCTGCAAAGCTGCTGCAGACGCCCTTGCATATTGACGGGTTCGTTGCAGCAAGTCTCCAGCACTAATGTACGCGGTCGATTTGGAGGAGGACACCTTGATTCTAAATCGCATCTAGGTATATTGCAAAGCCGGGCGTAGTAGCTTCTGAAGCATTATGTAAGGTTCATACCGATCATATTCTTGTGGGAAAGAGGTTGGTTCTGGATTGCTCTCCATTCAAAGTTTTAATCATTGATGGGGGCCTAGAACGGAGCTACCGCATCAATATGTGTACCATATGTACAGGCTGAGGGGTTTCCTGCCACAATACGGCCTGGCCAACAAGCATAACTCTCGACCGACATCGTTGTAGATCTAGATGCCCTCAACCCAACCAAAGAATCAGTCAACCAACCAACCTCACAATATTTCTCTGTGCGCTTGGAACCCCTCGATTCCATGGCGAACAAAGTAGCAAGCCTTAGCAGCTGAGCACACCTATCTCCTGCTAGCATCACTTCACAGACCCCAACTCCAACAACAACAACAACAACAACTAAACCCATAACCCTCACAGCCACACCACCACCTACCTACCCCGAAGCCACCCATCGCCCCTCACCCCTCCAGCACCAACAAACCCACCCACAAAAGCTCCCCTATACTCTATACCACCCAGCGCAACCGAAACAAGGCCCCGGAAACCGCGACATCCCAAAGCACCAATGACATCAAGCGTGCATAACAACGTGGAGCATCCCGAGATCCATCAGACCGATCATATTTGGCGGTTCCGGCAGATAAAGTAGTGTAAGTTAGCGTCCCTCCAAGTCAGCTACTGCATGGCCACTGTGGAGGGTAAGATGGTATGTCACATCGATGACGTTTGAAACACTGTAAGTTAAGCTGCGTTGTTTCATGCTTACGGATAGGGTCGGCTTCTTTGGTGCTTGGTGTCTTATATTCAGTTTTCATTTTGCTAGAGGGGGGATGAGCTACACACACACACACACACACATAGTCGGTCATAAGAAGGGGGCCTAGTACTGTTTGGTGCTGAGAATGAAAACAACCAGTGCAATGCGAGTGACAGGTGATAGATAGTGAGGTAGGTAGATAGCAGACCGTAAGTTATTGCGATGGTGGAAGTGGTGGAAAGGCCCGGTCTAGACCTTGATGCTGATCATCGAGGGATGCATCAGAAAATACTACTATGCTGTATACTCGACTCGGGATCCTAGATTCCGGAAGATGGGGATCCTTCCCCCCCGAGTTGAAGCCCCTGCCTTGTTTTAATCAATCGTAGGCAGTTTACTTGACTATTACTGTGAAAGATTCAACTGACAAGAGTGTAACCTGAATAAAAGTACGGGAAATCACTTCCGACTCCCGGAGTGAGGATCCATCGGGTGGACATTATAGTTAATCGCGCAAGCTGAGACGCTCGGCCAAGACATGTCCAGTCCCATTGCTCGCCCTGGTTCTACTTCCGCACCCTGAGAAAATGAATACAAAAAAATCCTCGTATTCAATTGCACTACCGAGATTTATCAAACTAAAGGTTAGAAGTACTGTTCTGCCTCATCCCCACTCCGGCTCGCAAGAAAAACCCGGATCAACCAACGCTTCCCGGAGTCGAAATGGGTATAGATCTCCTCACTTCGACGAAAAGTCGATATCCAGACGCCTCCGATGCCGATAAAAGATATTTTGGTGTGCCACAAGAAAAGAGAAAGGGGAATACGACGGGGTAAAACGATCTGAAAAGATGACTCCAAACACCATGACGGTAGAAGGAAAACTGATATGTCGAGGGTACGCAAGAGTATCCAGAAGGTGATGTAGAATGAAAATGTGCAGAGTGGCTTCAAAGAAACAGAGATGAACTTAGATCTGGCCCTTGATATCGACGATCCGATGAGCATCGGCCTTGGCAGCTTCAAAGAGCTGGCCGGCCCTGGGCCCCGTCACGAGTCTCACAGACCCCTCCTTCTCCTGAAGCAGATCCTCAGCGGAATGATCCAGAATGAAGCGTGCACTCTGCTCATCGGACTCGAAACCAAGTTCTTCGGTGACAAATCGGATTTTTACGTCGGGTTTGTATCTAATTTCGAGGTTAGCAAGTGAATCGAGCCGGCGAACAGGTACCACTCACGCTTTACAAATAGCTGCCAAGGCCGACAATCGCTCGCGATCCACAAACATGTCCATGAGATAAGCTCCCATGTTCGGGGTATCAAGGTACAACTGGAAAAATCGGTGGTAGTTTCCGAGAGCAAGGGCAGAGCGTACATCCAAGGCATGTTTCACAGCAGGATCCCGTTTGTCTGCTGGGGTTAGATCGGCTAAAGCATCGTTCATGGCCGTCCAGTTGCGAGTATGAATGAAGTAGAGAATACGATATGCCCGGAATTCTGTGGGATGCCCGCCAAGCTGCTGTGCATACAGTGCGCGAAGCTGAGTCTGACACTGATTATACTCACCAAGGTCCCCCTTCTCCAATGCGATTCGGGCGTGAATCTCGTAGACGCTGACAGTAAATTCGTTCTTAATATGCTGCACTGTCAGATCTTGCCGCAACGACTTAAACTGGTCACAGATATATGTATAGTTGTTGTCTTTTTTCCACTTCTTCTTCAGCACGTCCAAGGTCTTATGCAAAACATGCAAGGGCCGCACGGTCTCCGGCTTCGGTGCGGCAGTCAGGCGGAAATAGTTCTTTTCCAACTCCTGGCAAGTTCCGACAACAGGGCCGGTGTTCGCAGCAGGGACGGGTGAGGTGCCGCGGGACGACGCGGAGGAACCATTAGAAGCCTGAGGCTCTTCGAAGCGTTTCCTCCGCATTTCCAGATTGGCTTTAGACTTACTAGTATTCTTCAAATCTATTCTTTGGCGCTTATCAGTTGAGGCATAGGTGACTCGATCTTCAAAAGCATTGTGATTGTTAGTTTTCCGCCAAGGGGGACAGCCGTTCGCATCCCCTTGGTACTCAACCGACTTCCGCTTCTTCGACACGTCTTCCAGCCCGTTGCTATTGGATTTCTTGGGTGAAAGTGCGCCGAAGGTGCCCCAAGTCGATACGCTAGGGCTAGCTAATATCTTGTTTCGATCATTCTGAACCATGACTTGAGGCAGGGGCAAGTTGGTCCAATCGATCTTATCGAGCATATTATTCTCGGCCGCTTCGGTGATGACGGCTCGGAGTTTGGTTTCCATCTCGCCTCGCTCGACTCCAGCGAGCCGATTTTCAGGTGCAAAACTGCGTTGTACGTACAATCGCACCGGCTCTGGCCACTCTACTCGTTGTTTGCGGGGGGCGGTTTCCGTAGATGTTTGGTGCGACGAAGCCGGTGTTGGGGCAGAGATCGTTGTTTTGGCAGTGGTAATACTACGGCGTGCTTGAACAGGGGTATAGGCAGGGGTTGCTATCGTCTTGGTTAGTATCGACGGGGTAAGTGAGTGATGGATGCACATACCATGACTCGAGTACAGAGAAGCCGTGGCGGTAGGTGCTGCCGCCGTGGCACGCCAAGGTGGAATACCAGCACTCATATTGGACACAGGTCTAAACGAGGGCCAACAAGGGATAAGGGGGAAGCGAAGGGTGAAAGGCAAGAAAAAGAAGTATGAGCTACGAGTGAGTTGATTTCGATATTATAGGAGACAGGTCAAAACATCGTTCCTACACAGACAGAGCAAAGACGACAGTATCAGGAGAAAGATGTATGTTTGCCGCCACGAATCCACAACAGGGGCGAAGTCTTGAAGTTGTCTGCGGGAGGTTCGATAAAAGACGAAGCGTTTTCACAAAAGGAGAGAGGGGGGAGGAGAAGGGGAATGAGGAGGAGAGAGGAACGAGGGAGGACAAGTCAAGCTGCTTACCGCTCAGTCAGTTTCCACTTCATCCGGTGGCGGAGATTTTCCCTTGACGCCAGTGGGCGATGTCGCTTGCCGTAGTTTCCACCCCCTCCCCCATTGATTGATTACGTTAGCAGTCTCGCCGATGATCTAAACTTACCGATAACGAAGAGGGAGAGATCCCCATCGTCATCCTCCCAACCAGTCAAACGGATCTTTCAATTAAACTTCAAAACAAGAAAAAGACATTGCCCTCTTCCCAGCTCGACCGGCGAAGAGATGCTGTTTGGCTCTACTAGATGTTCTTCAAGCCTTTGGATCTAACTACCGCACTCCGACCTGCACTTTTGCCCGATGAAACCTTATTATTTGTCCAGGATGCGGTGGGGTTGTACGAAGGGTAAGTCGCCAGCGGTTCCTTTGAACAAGGTAGAATGCATGCATGCAAATGTGTGCCTCTTGGTTCAATCTCGATTACGGGATGATAATGTTGAGGCAATGGTAGGAAATACAAAATTCCCAACTATCAGAATGGCCATGCATACTTGACCTCGCACCGGGTGTGCTATGTCGCGCTCGAGGATCCACGGAAGTACTCTGTCGCCATCGATCTGAAAGAGGTTGACAGGGCGGAGTATCAGGTATGGCGCACCTGGAGTGATCCTCGGTTCAATCGTTGATTTTATTCAGGCAGGTTTCCTGAAATCATCACCGAAGATCACATTATATCCGAAGCCGCCCAAGAGCTCTCTCAGCAAATCGAAGAGCGCTGGCGCAAGCCCATCTCGGGGGCAGTCACCGGGTCTTCTGGCCCCTAGACCGCAGATTCAGCCTGTCACTCCCAAGGCCATCAATGCGACTTGGGTCTGTCCCATCTGCTCGTTTTCTAACCCCGTGCCTTCGAACTTCGACCCCTCTACAGCCACAGCGTCGACACCAATCCCACCTTGTTTAGCTTGTGGCATTAAACCACCTTTGGCTACAATTCTAAAAGCTGTGATCACCGCCACATCCAGCCGAAATGGTCCTCCAACCCAATCCAATCCGACTTTGTCCGGGCTTGGAGGCCTAGTTCCAGTCAACGGCTCTCGGAGCTTATCGTCTTCGGACAGCGCTCAGCTGTCATGTCCACGTTGCACATTTGTGAATCACCCGTCTCTCACCGAATGTGAGATTTGTGGTGCCTCCCTGGCAGCGGCGGTGGGTGCTTTGAAGTCTACCCAGATTGATTCGTATCGCGCAGAATCGCCAGCACCCGTTTTCAGCCATAATAGCATCAAGAGTACGGAGATTACTGACTGTATGAAATTGTCTTTCCGGGCCGGTGGTATACAGATCTTTCATGAGAGATTGAAAGGCGCTTTAATTCAGAGAAAATGGTTGCTTTATGATGCCCCGCCCGTGCCGCAGCAGCCGTCGCAATCGAACGCGATCGCTTCCCCGGGCTTAACTGTGACTTCACCTGCGGAAGGAAGTGTGCCATCGCCCTCACGGTCTCCTGGAGTGGGCATTGCAGGCCTCGAACAACGAGGTCTTCAGGCTCGCAAGAACAATGAACTTGTCATCGGAAATGCGTTTGAGGACTTAGAGGCGCTGATGGCATCTGCCAAGCAGGTGATGGCGCTTGCTGCATCTATGCGAGAGACGGGCATGACCAATGGCGATCTCTCAGGAGAAGCGAATGCAGTTCTTCTGGAGTCTGCGGAAACGATGGGGATGGTGACGACTAAGGATATGCTTGGTAGTGGCGCTGGAAGCTTGTACATCTCCGAACTCTCACGGAATCTGGCCGAATACTTGACCGACGACCGCAAGGGTTTGCTCAACAAAGAAGGCGGCATCATAAGCCTTATTGATCTCTGGGCGATATTCAACCGGTCTCGGAACGGTGTTGAGCTCGTCAGCCCCTCCGATTTCCAGAAGGCAGCGGAGCTATGGGAGACACTTAGACTGCCGGTGCGCCTACGCCAATTCAAAAGTGGCTTGCTTGTTGTTCAGAGGTGGGACTGGAGCGATGAAGAGACCCTCCGAAAGATACAGACATGGATGACAGAGCTCCGACAAGTGCCTCCAACGGAAACAGTTGCCTGGGACTGGCGTATGTTTGGACGTGCTGTCACTGCCCAGGAAGCAGCACAGCGATTTGGATGGAGCGTAGGTGTTGCAGCGGAGGAGTTAGAAATGGCCGAGGACAAGGGAGTTCTTTGCCGGGAGGAGGGCATTGAAGGTTTGCGATTCTGGGCCAACTTTCTGTCTGGAACCTCCATTGTCGGTGATTTGGGTTTGTCAGGAATAGTTCTAGACGAGGTCAATAGATGTACCTGAGCAGCATTATTATAGAGAACAATTGGCGTTGACAGAAGGCAGGCATGCTTGGGTTCGTGGAATCTGGGACGAAGGAATATAAAGATAGCAGATAATGGGCTCAGTGGTGCCATTGAACCATTATTTGAGTGTCATCTCGAGCACATACTTTCGGCCAGCATCAATACCGAGTTCAGAAGTGAGAGAGATGTCATGGTAGCTGACTCAGCCCCCTAACCCCGCATTGACCGACTGGTCTTATCGGAGCTCTCTCCACCCTATCGTCTTATCACTAACAACTTGCCTTCATGGTCTTGTTCAATGCATGTTGTCAAACTCCTTCATCGACTTGGGACTTGGGAACTTTCGGTCTCATATTACTATCTTGCCTACAAAGCTAGTCTCTGGCCTATTTCAGGCCTCTTTCTCCGCTCGTCACTACATCGTTCGATGTGACTGTCTATAGCCTCGCGGCCGTCTCGGTCTGAGGTCATTGTTGCTCACCTGTTTTGTCCCGTCTTCGGCTTCTCGTATCCAAGACCCAAGCTTCCTCAAGTTGAAAGGGCAGCAAAATGGGCATTTCAATGACAACATGGCATATGAAAGCAATTAGGGGGTCCGGACTTCTGTCCGGCACTTACCCTCTCGCTGTACACTCCGTTTCGTCTCGACTCGTGATATCCTCCTCCAAGCACCGCAAGCTATCGCGCTGCTCTCACAACCATCGACATGGCCCTGACTTCCACAAGAAGCACATCTATGAGCATCAACACCTTTGTGAACCTCGGATGCGAACCAGACCGACCCGTCGAGCTCGACCAGTAGATTCTATCGTTGAGGATCATCAGCCGTGGTGGAGCCATACCTGGAGCTCAAGCCTGCCTTTTCAGAAGATCAGCAAAAAGTCCTCAAGGCATCCAAGCTCTTATAAAGACTTTTGGGAAATGGAGGTGAACCGTACTCGTCACACGATGGACCACATAAAGCAGGCAATTGAAAATGACCCTTACGGAGCTATCTTTGGAAGGAGACTTGAGCCATTGAAGTCTTTTGAGAGATTCGATAAGACTTTTACATCCCTATGTCGTGCGCTGTTTGGGCTCGGTGACAAATCCGTGGACAAGGCCCATGCGGATATAGCCCATGGGACGCCGCGTACCATGACGACCACGGCAAGGTCTAAAAAGACCTCGGACACGCTCAAGAAACCTCAGCCAACCGATTCAGGTAAGCCAAGAGGCCCAATTGCGATCCACACAAAGAAGAACGTCACGAGATACGAGTTCGACCCTATTAGCGGTCGTATGATCCCTAAGAAAGCCAAGAATCCGGATGTTGCTGAGAAAGGTGAAGGTGGGAGAAGCCCAGTTCTTTCGGCTGCGGACACTACCTCCGCCTCGGAGATCACCGGCTATATGTCTCCTCTAAACCGAGATCCAGTGGAGTCTGGCTCTCAGGATGCTTCCATTCAGGAAAAAATTAACGGTGACTTGGCGACAGACGTTGCACTAATGACGGTCGTGAAAAATCAATCGCAGAAGACCCCATCTCATGACGATTTGGAAACGGCTCAGACTGAGTCTACAGATTATCTCAAGCTCTCCGAGAGCTCTTCTGATCCACCGGAAGCGACTAGTAGCCCTACGGAAAGAGCAGCACGAGAGTTAGCTCAACAGGAGAGCCTGTCCGAATTTCCAGACAGCGACTCGGTCAAGCCATTCTTGAGACATGATGCGCATCAAGGAGCCATACAATTGCAATCACTTCCTGAAGATCACATACCTACCCTGGAAATGGACGGTCCGGTCACCAATGACAAGCCCAGTTCTTCGAATTTCGCCATACTGAACGAGATTGAAGATGACTTGGCAAGATCACAGGATACAAGTCGGAAACAGGAAGAAGAAGAAGAGCTAGAGTCCTTGAGTGCAAGCGATATACGTGCCTCATATCTGGGGAAGGAGCCAGATCTCGATGCTCGCGCATCACAAGACTCGAATGAGTCGAATGAAATGTTGAACGCCCAAACCAACACTACTGGCCAAGTCGATGCAAGTATTGACCCGGACATTGAATGTTTTCAAGAGGCAACCGACCAAGGCCTTTCATCCACAACAGAGGACTTGGTAGTCTGGGACAAGTTTCAAGATGTGGCCTCAGAGACAGCAATTGCCTCGGATCAACTCGCCTTGAATGAGGGACAGGGAGCTGTGCCGTCTCCGAACTCACCCATAACTGTTCCGCACAACCTCTCTGGTCAGGTAAATGCCGAGACTTATCGCGTGCTCGCATTTGATCCCATCGCTATTAGTATAACCGAAGCAGAAACAAGCTCATCTTTCCATCCGCCAGATGAAATCTCTCACCCCGCCGAGATACTCAACCGCCTGAACAATCCTGCAAAGTTCTTACCGTACTTTGAGAAGTTGAATAATAATGGATATGAGATTGTCTCTGGTGGTGGGGATGTTCTCGTCTTCAGAAAGACACGAAATTCGTTTGAGCAGATCGAAGGAGCCAATGCCGACCCCAAGAAGGGCACAACGCTGTCTTCATCAACACTTAATGACCAGCAGCAGCACGAACTAAACCCTGACATTGTACTTCAAGGATCACAAAGCACCACATCCGAGACCGGGGAAAAGGCCTCCCAAGGAAGTAAGTCCGCGAAATTCCTCCGCAGAATGCTTCTTGGTGGCGTGGCTACTGCTGGAACTTGCTACGCGCTAGGCGTTGTCACTGAGTATTTCCGCACTGGTGGAGAGGACGGGCGTGGAATCGATGCCTTTACAGCATTTGAGTCCGAACGCCGCCGTCGGGAATGAATTCCTAGTTGAATGTCTACTTTATTCTGGAACCAATTGGGCGCCACATATGGTATTAAGATTGGACTTATCTCCTCTCAATGTAAATTACAGATTGCCTCCTGCGTCAAGCCAGCCACCAATTCTTCCTAGTTACTCCAACATCACGACATGTAATGGAATCCTCGAACGGACACAAGCAAAACCCCGATGGCGCACCTGCTCAAAAGACATATGACCAGCTCTCCCCAAGTCTTGTCAGAGCACCGTGCCAATTAACAAACCATGCAAATAATCAATGCACATCATGAGCACGGTAATTGTGCAATGCTGTTGTCGACGAAAGATCCAATCACAACCATGCTCATCTGTTTGAGCTGATCTGCACCAAGTTGGCTGCAATGCTGCCGCTCTCACTCAATGTCTGCATCCTGTTCGTCACTCACCTCTTCGTGCTCATCATCCTCACTTCCATACATATCCAAATCAGCATCCTGCTCGACTTCAAGCTCCGTCTCATAATCGTCGAGGTTCTCATAATCAGGATTCTGGTCCGAGGAATCAAGACTAACCCCATCTCCATCTTCATCCTCCTCTTCATCCTCAAGACCCCAATTGTACCTCCAGAACCAAGCGTACTCGTCCTCATCGTAGTCATTACTGCGATCCTGCCTCTTAGGCCACCGCCAAAACATGCTCTGCACCGAGCCAACCCGAGCCGTGCCACTCATCAGATACCGACAGAGCCCCGAGACCAGACGCACGGCCCCACGGAACCCCTCCCAGGTCCAGAGGTCATACTCCTGACTCACCAGGACCTGGAACACCCTGTAATCCTGGTTCAGCGCCTGCTCGATGGTCCCCTCGGTGTCGGCGCCGCGATCCAAACGGAACCATTTGATCTGCTCCAAGACCTTGCGGATCTGCCTTGTCTCGAGGCGAGTGCGCAGCGCCCTGCGATCGCCGTCCGCGTCACCGAGAAGACTCAGGGCGAGATTCTGGGCGAAGTGGGAGGGCAGGGAGGTGTACGTTTCCCCGTGGACGAAACCTTCGTGCGTGTGGGAGCGGATCTGGGAGGTCTTGAACCCCGGAGCGACCAGGCGGAGCAGGTGGAGGTGCGACCCGTGCAGGTGGAGGAGATACGCATCTTGGTCCGCAAGGCTGAAGATGTTGTTGGTTAGGTCCCGCATCTGATAGCAGAACTGTCCGACGAGGATCTCGACGGACTTCTGGAAGTGGGCGGGGACGGTGATGTGGGGATTGTCGGTCTGCAGATGTAGGGTTAGTGTATGGACGTTGATGTGAGGGAGCTTTGGGAGGGGGGGGGGAGGTCGGGTGAATCCAAAGTAGGTCGACATCTGACTGAAGAATAAGGGAACAAAACGCTATGCTTACCACTGTGATGGGAACTACATTACGGCTGAAGACGCGCTCGTTCGGATGATCCACCGTCAGGAAAGCGTGGGTTTCGGGCCCAGTATAGGTTGCCCTCCTTCTGCTCATGCTGTTCATGAAATACGCGATCCGCTTCCGGCGGTACCGAGGACTGTATTCCTGTCAGTCACATGTCTGTTCTCTTTATTTTCGCTTATGACGAACCAAAAGACCGGGGTGTTACATACGTCAGAGACAGCTTGGACTTCCCGTCGGGGTTCCTGTGAGCGATCGAGGCACCCTTCAGGATATCCTGCAGGAAGGACACGATGGCACGCTGCTGCAGTCTCACGATCCGGGCGAAACGCCGCGCCTCGGTCTCGTCCAGGGGCCGATTGTCGGTAGGCAGCCCTGTGGCCTCATACCCACCGGCAAGCAGACCCTCTCGGAGGCAAGGATTCTCAATCAAGCTCTCGAAGGTCATGCGGAATCGCGGGTCCCATTGACTCCATTTCGCGAAGTCGATGACTCCCTTCTGAGCTCGGAAGGCATGCATGATCCATGGAGAGATTTTATAATCATCTGAATCATCATTCAGCAATCACTCATCAGGCAACAGGAAGGGGACTTACTCGATGCCTCTGCAAGTTCAAGGTAGCGCCGGGGAACGAAATCCTCCTCAGCATGGTTCAGCTCCGTGCGGAAGTAAGTCCTATGTATCTCGATCACATAGTGATCTGGCAGATTCGCCGCAGGCATGGGATCTGGGACTGGAGTGGTGGTGAGTGGCTGCGCCATGTTTCTCACGGCTGTATTGGATAGGGGATGAGCGGGAGGCTTTTCGTTGTCTGCCATGGTTTGTGAGGGTGAGAGAGTGTGAGAAGGGGGGTAAGGAGGAGAAGAGGAAGAGGGAGAGAAAGAGAAAGAGGAGAAAGATGAGGAGGGGAAGAGAGAAACACACTCTCCTGGCCAGGTGAAGGAAATTTCTGAGAGACATGGCAATCGCCGCGGCGATGAGGTTACGTTGTCGTCTGGGTACACGCTTTGCTGGTGTGTGTTCTTTGGTGTTTTGCTGGGTGCACCGGCGAACCACAAGATGTCAGGCGGAGACAAGGCTTTGCTCTGTTGGTTCTTTGCTGGTCAGATGGTCTCAAGTTCCAAGGGCTCTTTGTGTGATTCATACCTGGCTGTTGGATTTTATCTCCGTTATGCGTCTGAAGCAGTGTAGAGCTGTGGGATACATCAACCGACATACAGATTTTCGAGTAAAACAGATGTTGAAATCCCATTATATATTATCCTCAGACATGCAATCTGTTTAGGACACTGGCCATTGCTAATTGGGAATAAAAGGATAGCTAATGATGTTAATGCTGCAGCTGAGGCTTCATGTTAAACCTGTATGTAAACCGACAAATATATAGCGCTTCCAACCACCACCATTACCGCAATTCAAATGGTCTAGACAACTATCGGCCACCTACATTTCTGCTTCCAGCACATACAATTATACACAGATAAAAAGAAAAAGCATCCAGCCTCAAGATAACCCCACCCTCTTCAACAATCATCGACACTCCAATGCCCCCTCTAAAGACATGATTAGCGAAGCCAACTCCCCCACTCACTAGATCCCTTATCTTATCGCTTATCACCGCCTCCTCTCCCCCCAGCCAAGCCACTACAGAGGTACAGTACTGTACATATAACCTCCCCTCTCCGCACTCACCTACACCTACAGCCAGTGCATCAAACCGAAGCATCCTAACAACAGCCCCTCACTTCCTCACCCTTACCCTCACCCTAATTACCCCCTCTACCACCCCAATCACCACACCAAGTATAACCAAAAATGTGGCACCCCACCCGCCGCGCAATCCACACCCGCGCCGCCCCCGCGCCACCACCCTTCCTCTCCCAGGCCATCGTCGCCAACAACACCGTCCACTGCTCCGGCCAAATCGGCGTCGACCCCGCCACCGGGGAGCTCGTGAAGGGGTCGGTCCAAGCGCGAGCCGTACGTTCTTACCGTTACACTTGTCCTAAGCCTGAGCCTATAGTGCTTCCCCGAACCCAACCCCTTACCCCCGGATAGTGCTATAACTGTAGCAACCCCAAGGGCAATCACACTTAACCCCAGTTCAACCACAACCCACCCCAAACAGATCCATGCTGACCGCACAACCCACCCACGCCAAACATGCTGATCAACGAACAGGAACAAATCCTCCGCAACCTCCGCGCCGTCCTCGAAGCCGCGGGCTCCAGCCTCCACGACGTGGTCAAGGTGAATATCTTCCTCACGGATATGGGGGATTTCGGGGCGGTGAATGAGGTCTATACTGGGGTTTTCGCGGGGGAGGGCCGGGTTGTGCCTGTGAGTTTTTGTTCCTCTGTTATCTAGGAGGGCTGGGCTGATAGCTGTTCGCTAAATGTCTAGGCGCGTACGTGCGTGGCGGTGAAGTCGTTGCCGATGGGGACGGATGTGGAGATCGAGTGTTCGGCGGTGGTGAGGGGCCTTTCTACCACCAGGGGGGCGAAGTTGTGAATTTGAACCCTAACCTGCTGTCTTGGACTGTATCTCGTTTGCTGGGTGTGGTGGCTTATATACGGATGTGCGGGTAGGAGGGAGAGTATCGGTGATGGGCTGTGTTGTGCATTTTATAATTCAAGTAAAAGAGATCTTTGATTGGGGTGAGGTAATTCGAATTTGAGGATAGTCCAGTGGCTGCGGTGGCAAGATGGGTTGTCTGGAAAATCGCATCGAGAAAATCAAGATTCTTACACCATCCGTCAAACTTAAATGGCTCTGCGGTGAGCTATTCTTAGTGGTGTATGTCTGGGTGTACCTGAAGACCATTATTGAGGCAGCGCGTGTCAAACCTTAATTCTGGAGAGTTGGCGGAGCTTGCGATCTCGCTGGATTCGCTCTGCTACCTATGTGTAGTCATGTTGACTCTGTCGAGTAGGTAGTGTGCTGTCTCTGGATTGCTGCGTGACAACAGGTATTACATTTTCAGTAGTTTGGTCGCAGACCAAGGACTAGATCTTGATTGATTTCTTTGGGTGTCGCATTGTCATCGACCTTCTGGCAAGGCTTTGATACCGGAGCATAAGGGTCTAATATATCCTGGGGCCTGGTCGGGATGGGCCGTGAGAACCAGTCTGCATGATGCCTCTACCTTGTTGCCATTTGTCTCGCTGAATGTGGACTTTTGATAGTATCTCCGTGAGGTGCGACTTGTTTTCTGGACGAATGCTGGGTGATGAGCGTATAAGCAGTTCATGATGTCCACGAACCTGTGGCCATCGTAGCCACCATTCTTCCTGTTTCTGGTCCTAGCTCTGCTCTTGCTGACTCCGACCAACTGCTGTGAGGCGACAGAGGATGATAAAGAGCGGCGAGGTCCTCATTTTATATCCTGCCTTTTGAGAGCGCTTGGGCCAAGCCTCATGAGGGATGCTTTATGCTGTTCCATTCTGAGCACGTGACGGTTATGGACACGCCACAGGCGAGGGATTAAAGGACTCTTGAGTGTGAACAGAAATAAGGAAACCATGTTTCCCTCACTGATTGAAAGAGACAAAGAGACCGCAGAGTTCTGTTGGGCGGGTAGCATGTACCTATACTTCCATGTCGTGGAAAGGTGTGATCTTGTTGCCCCAGAGTCTAGATCAAGAATATACTCACTCCAGATGCAGAGGAGACCTAAGGTGTAGATTGATAACCAGTCAGGGTAAGTAGATAAATGGTAGGCATACAAAGTCGACATGCGTATTTTTGATACCATCACCCGTGCTGCCGGGAAATCGACTAGGACGGAACAGGGCACTGCACGCGCCAGAAGGAGGGGAGTTTCTCAGCCAATGTGGGCGACGCATTGGGTGAGGAGGTGGAGCAACACGGCGGGTGGATTTCATTTGTTCAGGAACAGGAATAGTTCCGTCTCATCTTTCCTTGGGCCGCGCTGAATGGCATTTTGTCCCGTCCATGGTTGGCTTCCCACAGGGTCGCATCTGCAGGTTTGAGAGAGACGACCACCTAAAGTTAGCTGCTGTGCTGTACTGTACTGCAGTCGGTATCTGTATCTTTAGCCAGGGTGAGCGAGAAGCTGAACGGAGCTCATCAACCGAGTTGGTAAGTTCGTCCGTCGACTCCGTCGTGAGTCGAAGGCCTTCCTTGTTCCCCAGGAGTCAGGCGTGACACATAAAAATAGCAACGGTAGTTGGACAAAGGTGGTGCTACAATAGCTCCCCTGACTAGTCAGTTACTAGTCATCTAGTCAGTCATCGGTCCATGGTCCTCGACCGGGTTGCACAGCGATCCGAGTTCCTGAGAGCAGTTGCATAGTGTTCATATACCTTATCCGAGCTTGGACGCGCCGATGATCTGCAACTGGGGGAAGGATAGAGACTTTTCGGGCCCCCCCTTATTATCCGTCTGCCATGCTTCACGGAAGCGACGAACCTTCTCGGATCCCTGACTGTCAGCGAGGAGAATCATGGATCCCTATTGGTATTGTATTGTCAGTCAATGGCAATCCCAGTCCGCTGGAATGCTGCGATGCAGAGAAACCGTAGGGATGGAAATGACGGTTGTTTCAGCACTGATGATGGCCCCAGAGGGCGTCCTCTCACTGGACCATCGCACGATTCAAACATTCCTGCCATGTTAGGGCGGAAAAATGTGGATGACGATTCATGCGCACAGGAACGCGCGAGAAGAATTGACTCTGGTGTTCTGTTCTGCTCTTGATGGGACTCAGGGACGAAACGCCGAGCTGAGCTTCAGTGGCATCGCTTAAGTGTTCCGGGTACACGTGGGAGCAGCAGCACATGAATCGGGTGGATTGGCCGGAAAAGAGAGGCAGTGAGAAAGTCAGGAGCCTGACGGGCAAGGCCCCTAATCATTTTCGGGCCAAGGAATTTCTCCCCCCGGGTCTATTGAAATGAACAATAAGTTAGTGTCGGTCGTTAGTTAGTCTAGTGGATGGAAGAATGATCTTCCCATATTCTAAGTATTCAGTAGCCTGCTCTTTAGTCTATATAGTACTGGACATATCTAAGATAGCTACCAATATGCATGCCATCCTATAGAGGAAACGCAGCTCGATCTCGGTCTCCGTGCCAAATCTCTACTAGACTCGAATGAACAGACTCAGGTCTTGACTCAACGGGGTAGTTCTACCAAAGATGAGGAGAGATGGTGAGACAGCCGTCCGATTCTTTGGTGACTATCCGCTAAGCCAGATCCAGTTAGATTCCAGGCACTGCCTACGATCTCAAAGACGGGCGACTTGAAGCCAAAGCAACTCGTCTCTGTGTACGGACTACGGAGTAGCTTCATCCAAAATTCTGTCCTTCGCGTCTGCTGATAGGGGACTATGGGAGGAACTGCTCTGCTGGCGGAGACGAACCATAAAGCCCAACCCAACCAGTCCTTCAAATATGTAAGTGGCCGGAAGACCCTTCCTGGGGGCAAAAACTCATGAAACAACTGTAGACGGACAGGCAGTAAATGAGTGAGTGGCTGCAGTGTTTCCCAGACTCCTTATCAGCACGCACCGGGGCAATCCCCACCGCCACGGTCAGGAACCAACCTACCCACTTTTTACCTTCCCAGAAAAGTAGAGCCACCCACGCCGTCAGTCTAGGCCTTGTGATGGTCCGAACCTTGACGGAAACATGCCCTTTGCAGACAAGGTTGGCGTGCAAAGAGGCGGGAATTACGATGGGCACTGTACCACCGTCGATCGGCACTTGCTCCTGCGCTTTTCACCGGCCACTGTTCTGTATCACCTTACAGAATGAAGCCCCCAAGCCATTCCCCCCCCCCCCCCCCGGCCATGCTGTGCCTTCCTTGACCTGTATCAACAGACCGTATTATTACCCGGTCCGATCGCAAATCCATTCAAAAGATCAATGGCTCCAGCCCAGCCGTCCAGTAAACTGTCTTTAATCATCAGATTCTGGGCTGGCTCTGGGCTGGCATCGTTTGCATGGGTACGGAGTACTTTGGACGAGTGGCAGTCGGCAGGAATCTGTGTTCTGTAGGGCTTGCGTGATTTCTTCCCTCTGCTGCACCCTCTTGTTGCTGGTCACTCTGGGGTGGTACAGGACAACGCCGACCAGAACAATCGCTTGCATATGAAGAGCATCCTCCCTCGTCTGTCTAGGTCACTGTCGTCGAGATGATAGACTGTGATCAGTCGTCCGGGATTCGGTCAATTGCAACGCCCTCAGTACGGGCTTGTCGCCCTTGTCCCATGTCAAGGTTGATCTGGCAGACCCTACTTTGGCGTTCCAAACTCAGTTCTGGAGAAGCGTATCCGAAAGTCGAGAGCTCATCACCTTCGTGTGCTTTTCGGCCGAGGATTACCGGCTATCTTGACGGTCGATGCACGTCCCAGTGGCATACGAAGCCAAAAGGGCCGTCTGCAGCAGCCACGGAGCAGTGTAGAGTACTACATACAGGAGGGCGGAAAGCACCAATTAGTCCGAGTGCTATAGTCAGTTCACTAGTGGCCCTGCTGGTGTCAGCTGGATATGATTGCAGTAGATTACTGCATCTGCTGCAGATGGGCGTTCCCCATGTCATGACACCTTGAGGTAGATTTAGACATGGGGTCGGACCGTGGATAGCACTTCATTGATGCATCATGGCCATGGCTATACTGGAGTCGCTAAGTAGAGTCGAGAACATCTGATGCGCAACGCGACCGGTGGGAAACGGTGAACAACGGTGAACAGGCTGACAGACAGGCACGATGTGGAGGAAAGAGGCTAGAATACGCGGAAATCGTGCGGAAATCGTCGTCATTCACCTGAATGACTGGAGCCAGCCCGGTAATAATCGCCGGGTGGAGAACCTGGGAGAGTGGGAGAGTGGGAGAGTGTCCCACTTTTTGTGCCGAGTGCGTGGGCATAAGACGAGGCGGATTCAGCAGCACTGGGCTTATTTCCACAGCCTACTGTTTTTTTTTTTTTCATCTTGCCCTTTCTTTCATCTCGGGCCCCCCTTTTACAGCCGTACCTATTCCTACTCATACTATCATACTATCACTACTCTGGTAAGTCCAAAGACTAGACGATGACACGGACGGGCCCCAACGAGACTAAACCGCCTCCTCCAAATTAATCTCCCCTTCTCTTTCTCCTCTTTTTCCTTTCACTCATTTACTTCCATTCCTAGTATCGATTAGTTGTTCGTCTTTTTTGGATTTGATTTCTTTACCAAACCCCCCGTCATTCTTTACTTTCTATTTACCCTCTCTCTCTCTCTCTCATTCTCACTTACACTCTCTCAGTTCCGTTCTGCTTTTTTCCTCCTTCTATTCTTCATGCTTGGCTATTGTCGATGCCTGCGTTGACGTAGTCACTCACCATCTCGGTACGTTCTCTCCTGCCGCCGTCTACGCAGGAAGGCAGGAGGGTTGGGGGCTGCTTTTGACAATTCATCGCCCGTCTTACCCTCCTCAGTCTCTCTCGCTCTCTAACTCACTCTGATTCGGACTCTCCTCCCTGCTCTTCCTTGCATCTTCCCACCCCCTCCTCCTCCTCCATCCCTAACCCCCCTCCTCTTCTTCCCATCTTTTCCCACGGTCGCGCGCGCCGCTTCAGGTACCATCAAACAGACCAATCCACCGCCGCCCCGTCGAACCAAAACAACTCCACCATCCAGTCCCATACAATCAATCAACCACCGCCTGCCACCACCTCCCACCACCTCCCACCACCTCCCACCTATCCCTTCAACGATCGCTTTTCTTACTTGTTTATTCTAATCTAGATTTCTCTTGTCGCTCGCTCCTTGTCGCATCCACACTCATTATCGTCTTGTCTGTCGCGAGACTCTTAAGGGGATTTTGTTGGTTGTTCGTTTCGTACGACCACGCCCCCTGCCGCTCCTTGAGACCGCTTTTGTTTATCACGAACTGCCACTATTTTCGCACACACAACCAGTCCCGGCTCGTTGCTATTGTGAAAGTACATCGGAGAATTTGCCGTGTTCCTGCTGATCGAGCCGTTCCTGCACCTGAACAGTCTTGGCAGGAGTTGCGACTGCGTCCCAGCCATCTGCAGATACCCAATAGCGACATAACCAACGCCCGTTAATTGCCGAAAGCCGCCTGGTCTTGACGACTGGAAAGTGGAGGAGTGAACTGCAGGAAGGTCAAAAAGGATAGTCCGCACAGTTCAAGTATCGTTTGTCGCCGCCAGCCACCGAATCAATGTATCTGCGATATCAACGATTAACACTCGGTATCAACGCTTGAATACTCTTCTAACCGGATTGGAGGCCGCATTGTCCATCGGGTCCTCGCTCTGTCCGTTCCCTCCGCATCGGTACGGTCCTTGAGACCCTTAAATCGCTCTTTTTTTACGCTTGTTATCCACCCACGCTCCTTTCAATTTCAACATGGTTTCTCCGACAAGATCCCTGCTGCTCGCGCTTCTGACGCTGAGTGGTCTGGATATCACCGCAGCTGAGAGCGCAGCCGAGGCGCAAGACTTGCGGGCTCGGCACTACCTTGAGGGTCGCGCAGTGAGCTCGTCTGCGATCGCGTCCCCGGCTACCGCCTCTGCCACATCAACAGTCGAGACCAGCATCGCTAGCTCGACGACAGATGCGGCAAATTCCGACACCGTATCAGTCGAAGGCTCTCCCGTGGTGGTGGTTGTGCCAGTAACCCTCTCAGTGGACGCCTATGGCGTTACCCACACCATCGTTGGCACGCAACCATATATCCCTGGGGCTTCCACGAGCTTTAGTGCAACAGCAAAGACTGCAGAGAAGGCGTCGCCCCCGCCAGTTGTTCCTGCATCAGCTACTACTACTGCAAGCGTTAGCACAACAAGCTCGACTACCGCAAGTGAGACCACCACGTCCCAATCTGCGGTGCGAGCCGACACAACCAGCCCTGTTGCATCGGCTACATCGGAGTCTGCCGCGAAGGTCGACACCACCACGTCCGAGAAAACATCTACTTCGGAATCCGCTGTGAAGGTAGCAACAACCACGCCCGTCAAGTCATCTACATCCGACTCCGCCGTCAAAGTGGACACCACGACTTCCGACAAGCCATCTTCTACGTCCGAATCTGCTGCAAAGGTAGATACCTCGTCTTCAGCCGTTGCTGCTGCGACTACCACCACTGGCGATTCTCTTGACGGCTCACTTGAGAGCTTTGTATCAAGCTTGCTCGCGGGCTCCACGACTGCTCCCACCAGCGTTGGCAACAGCGCTGCCACGGCTAGCTCTGCTGCGGTGGTCCCGGAGTCCAGCACTTCTACTCCTGCTGGAAGCTCTGCTGGGATCATTGGCGTTCTTTCGAGCCAGACCTCTTCCACCGAGAGCTCTGGCACCGAGAGTTCTACGGCGTCTCCCTCAGCTTCCCATGCCTCAGCTACCTCAGCTGTTCAGACTCCTGCATCCCAGAGTTCTGCCACTTCTACCCCCGCTGCAAGCTCTGTGGGAATTATCGGCGTTATTTCGAGCCAGAGCTCTGCCACTGAGAGCTCTACTACTGAGAGTTCTACGGTGTCTCCCTCTGCTACCCAAAGCTCGGTTGTCAGTACTGTTTCTCAGGGTTCCGCCACCTCGACTCCTGCCGCAAGCTCTGCCGGTGTTGTTGGCCTTATCTTGAGCCAAACTTCTACCGAGACGTCTACTGGAAGCTCAACTGTTTCTCCCTCTACTACCGAGAGCTCGTCTGTCCAGTCTTCCGCTGCCCAGAGCTCCGTCACGTCTACTCCCGTGGCAAGCTCCGCTGGTGTAATTGGCCTCATATCAAGCCAGAGCTCTTCTACCGAGAGCTCTGCCACTGGGAGCTCGACTGCGTCCCCTTCTGCTGTTCAGAGCTCAGTTTCCCAGACTTCTACCAAGCCGGCCGCTAGCTCCGGAGTGATTGGCACTGTTTCGAGCCAGAGTTCATCAGCCGAGAGCTCTGTCATTGGAAGCTCAACTGTTGCGCCCTCTACTACCCAGAGCTCTGTTGAGACCACTGCCACTCAAGCCTCCTCTGTGGCATCCAACTCTGTTTCTCAACCCGCTTCCAGCCAAGCTTCCACTGCCACCAGCAATGCTGCTCAGACTACTGAGGCGGCCTCTTCCAAGGCCATCATCTCTGCATCCCAGGACGCCGCCTCCACTACTACTCCTGGCGCATCGGGTCTGGTGGGTATCCTGTCAAACCTGTTGTCAGGCACCACCTCTACTGGAGTGCCATCGTCAGCTACTGCGTCTGGCTCGGCTACTGTCCCCGTTTCCACCGCGTCAGGCTCTGTCACTGCCTCTGAATCTGCCACTGCCCCAACTTCGACCGCTTTGGCGGGCTCGACAACTGTTTCCGGCTCGGTGATTGCTTCTGAATCCGCCATCTCATCTGGTTCCGCGACTGTGTCTAGCTCAGCTCCTACGGCTACTTCGACCGTGTCTGGATCTGCCACCGTTTCGGGCTCGATCCCTGCTACGGAATCTGCCTTCGTATCCGCATCGGCTGCCCCCTCTAGCTCGGTTCCTGGCTTGGTCATTTCGTCTGAATCTGCCGCATCTGGTGCCGTCACTACGTCTGCTCCTGCTCCTGCCTCTGACTCGGTCACGGCATCTGCGCCAGTTGTCGTCGTGGGATCGAGCTCGGTGACTGCCACGAGTGCCAGCGCCTCTGTGGAGCCAGCACTCCTCAGTTTGAGCATGAGCTTGCCCACCATTCCTGTCAGTGTTCCTTTGGTCACTCCCACTTCTTTGTTGGGATCGTCCGGGATCCCTATCCCTGCGTTGCTTAGCACCGCATCGGATCTGACATCGGTGGCCTCTGCCGTCCCCACCAGCGGTGCTGTGGGTCTTAGCAGTACCGGCTTGGACCTGACATCCGGCGCTTCCATCGTTCCGACCAGCGGTGCTGTGGGCTTGAGCAGCACGGTTCCAGGGGCTACTTCTGATGCCTCCAGCGCTGCAATTGGCCTGGGGCCCACTGCCACCACATCCACGGCTCTCATCGCTCCCTCCAGTGAGACTCAGAGCTTCGCACCTGGCGCCTCGACCCCTGTTATCAGTGGCAGTGTCGCTCCCACCAGTGCTGCTATTGTGCCTACTCTCTCTGACAGCACCTCTGGCGCAGCCTCTACCCCCATCTCTGCTTCTGAGACAACATTCGAGTCGGGATCTCCATCGGGAACTGCTTCCGAGTCCGCCTCTTCCGCTGCGTCTGCCACTTCAACTGCTCTGATCGCTACCAAGACCACGGAAGCTTCGGGCTCAGTCTCCGCAGCCCCGACTGTTGCCCCCTCCGTGTACTCTAGCACCAGCACCAGCACCAGTGCGACAATTCCCTTGACTACTGAGCAGCCAACGACCACCAAGGCTGTTGCTGAGACCACCACTGCGCAAGCCCCCACATCCAGCACAGCGAACGCGGATGATTGGATGCCATCCAGCATTCTCATTGTCGGAACTACGACTACTACGACTGAGCCCACGGGCACTGCCACCAAAGCTGCCACCACCACGACAGCTGCTGCGCAGCTTCCTGGCTCAATCTCTCCGGCTGGAGGCATTCCCAACGAACCCAAGAACTCGACCTTGATCCAGATCGGATTCAATGGCAAGCTTCGGTACAGTTTCGTGGCCACGACTCCCTTGTCTTCGTCGCAGATCTTCACGTACGTTCCCCAGGGTCTCGAGTACGCCCTGTCGGCCAACGGCAGCGATGTCGTGATGTACGACATTCAGCCGTATGACAACTCGGCCAGCACTGGGTACATCGCCACTGTTGCTTTGGCTTACATCCCGTCGGGTGACGTGGACACCCTATCGCAAATGCTTCACAACCCGATCTCCAAACTGTATGAGCAGCCCAATCAGACAGTCAAGACATTGATGTCGATGATCGATCCCTCGATTCCCCTGATTGTTAGCGCCGGGTCGTCGTCCGGTGGCGGCTCATCGGGGAGCAGTGGATCCGGCAGCAACAAGGGTAGCGATGATGGAGGGTATGACCAGTCGGATGCCGGTACGAGCAGCACGGGCACCACCAAGGCCAGCGCCGTTGGCATTGGTGTCGGCGCTGTTGCCGGTGCTGCCGCCTATGGTGCTGGCATGTTCTGGGTGGCTCGTCGGTACCGCAAGAAGCGTCAACTGCACCAGCGCAGCCCCTCGGCCGTGGATCAGATGAGCGAGGGCCGCGGATCCGCTGCCCTTGCTGCCGGGGGTCGTATCTCCCGTGGCAGCCAGAACAGCCGTGGCACTGGTCGGACACAAATGATCAGTGCGCCTGTCATGGCTGAAAATTCGCTTGGATGGAACTAGACCAGGGTCTCTGGTCGATTTGTTTTTATTGCGAGGTGTGTTCCATGATAGACTGGGGAAACAAGACCAAAAGAAAGAAACAAGGAGGAGAAAACGGAGACAGGAAACCGTCGGTCGGGAGAACGGATGAGAGCGACTCTCGAAACCACGCTTGTCATTTATCAACTCTCTCATCTAATCTTTTCTTCTTATTCCCCATATGTTTGTGCTTTGTGTTTTATCATATACCTTTCTTACCCTCCTGGTGGTTGATGGCGGGCCTGCTTCCATCACCGCCATACTCGCCCGCCCTTTCTCTTCTCTGGCTCCCTTGTGGGGGAGCGTCACTGTTGTCTGTATGGCCGGGGGGTATGGCAGGTATATCGTGACGAGTAACGCCATCTATACTTTACTACTACCCCAGCCACCTTTTGTGTCTCATTTTGTTTCCGATTGAGTTGTTTATATGTACAGATGTATATTTCCCGTCCGTATCTACTAGAGTCCGAAACCGGCCGGCTTGTCGGCTTGATTCCCAATATGATGTTCATACTTGACCTTGAAGAGTGCATGCTGTAGCAGACCGCAGACCCAAGACCCAAGACCCAAGACCCAAGACCCACCAGGGAAACAAGGATGAGAGAGAGCCAAGATGAATGCCAAGTCGATTCCCCTCTTTTCTGCAGCAGGAATGGCCTCCGTGTCGAATGATATCACCTGTCATTATGCCTGCCTGCATCACGCGTGGAAAAATGACTCCGCACTTGAGTCGGAGTTACACCGGTCTAGGGTTGGAGATGGTTCCACCTATGAGTGGTCTTGTCGGACATGGAGTTTTCATCTCCGATTGCGGTGTGATTCGTGGCAACGATGGAGAGAGATCCAGCATATCCAGCATGGTTTCGGAGGAGACTACCGAATATGTCAAGTTGCTGCAGGTTAAGCTTGACTTAGTTATGTAGTATGTATGTAGTATGGAGTATGTAGTGGGGGTTGATGTAGACTGGGTATGGTGAGTAGAAAGTAGGGACCTCGGTCTCTACCATCGACTTACTCAATGGTTCAATTGTAGCACTTATAAAGTAGCATGTTCCCTTTGCGGGGCCAGCAAGACAGCCAGAGACAGACAGAGAGAGAGAGAGAGAGAGATAGAAACGAGACAGGGAATCTTCTTTCCTGATCCTTGGGCATGACAATGGCCCGTCTAACCACCACCACCACGACCGGAACCCACTGGTTCCCAGCCCTCACCACTCTTCTCCTTGTCGCAACCTCCTCCTCAACATCTGCCCTCCCCAACAACACTTCCCCTTCCTCCTCGTCAGCTGCTGCTACTTTTTCCACTGCTGTTGTTGCATCTTCATCCTCCCCACCAACCGTAACCCTCCCCCCCTCTCCCTCCACCCCCCTCGACCCATCCACCATCTTCATCGGCCGCTCCCTCCCCGAGTTCTCCCAGGACCTCTTCCTCGGCATCAAGTACGCCGACCAGCCCACGCGCTTCACCCCGGCCACCCTCAAGACCCGCTACCGCGCCAGTGACAGCGACAGCGAGGCGTCCACCTCCACCGAAGACACCTCGGACGATGACGATGACGATGACGACGTGCAGACAGTCCACTACAACGCAACCCAATACGGCAACGACTGCCCCGGCTACGGCAGCGACGAGACCACCCTCGTGGACGCCGGCTACACGCGCCTGAGCGAGGACTGCATGAATCTGAATGTGATTCGGCCTGCCGCTGCCCCCGGGACGGAGGGGTTGCTCCCCGTCATGGTGTGGATCTTTGGGGGTGGGTGGATTCAGGGCGCGACGAGTGACCCGAGGTTTGTTTTGCCTTGTTCTTCTCGATAGTCAAGAGGGGAGGGGAAGGTGTGGGTGTGGGAGAGAGGGCTGACTGACTGATGATGATAAAACTGGGGGTGGGTTTGAGCACTGGCTAACTGACGATGAATCTGAAGGTATAACATGAGTTACATCCTGCATCAAGGCGCACTCAACGACAAACCGGTGATTGGCGTGTCGATCAACTATCGGGTCGCTGCATTTGGGTTTTTGGATTCGAAGGAGGTTATGGTTCGTTTCTCCCTTTCTTTACTTTCTGATTTGGGGAGTGATGGGATTGTGCTGATGTGCAGGTACAGGAATCCGGAAATACGAATCTGGGGCTGCGGGATCAACGCGTGGCCTTGCGGTGGGTGAAAGAGAATATTCGGGCTTTTGGGGGCGATCCGGACAGGATTACGATCTGGGGGGAGTCTGCGTGAGTTTTTGTCCTTCTTGGTGGTAGCTACAAAGGCTGATGGCAGGGGCAGAGGGGCTTATAGTGTTGGGGCGCATCTGGTGACGAATGAGGGGGATAATGAGGGCCTGTTCAGGGCTGGTGAGTTGATCCTATTCTCCCACCGGTTGGACAGGGCTTATGTGTGCGTGTGCGACAGCGATTATGGAATCGGGCAATGCAGTCGGTCCCCCCTGGAACGGCACGGACTGGTATCAACCCATGTATGACCAGATTGTGAATAAGACGAAGTATGTGCCCTAGATGCGGTGCCTTGCTGCGTTCACGTTCACCTCCTAACAAAACAGCTGCACCACCGCCTCCGACACCCTGCAGTGTCTCCGCGAGGTCCCCTTCGAGACCTTCTATCCCCTCGCCTACAACGGGCTCGAATGGTTCGGCACCATCGATGGCACCTTCATCAAGGAGAAGCCCCAGATCAGCATCACCGAAGGCCGCTTCGCCAAGGTGCCCATCCTGCACGGGACCAACACGGACGAGGGCACGAGCTTCGGCACCACGGGGACGAACACGGACGAGGAGTGTATTGAGCAGTTGGTCGGTGAGTGTCCTATCCTCCCTATATCGTAAGGTGTCTAGTCTAACTGCGGCAAGCCTCCAAACGCTGGGTCCTCGACCGCGACCAAGCGACGCATCTGCTCGGCCTTTACCCGAATATCTCGGCCCTGGGCTGCCCCTACGGCTGGGGCAACGTCACCTGGCCGTCCCGCGGGTACGAGTACAAGCGGTACGAGTCGATGGCGGGCGATCTGTGCATGGTCGCGCCGCGGCGGCTGCTGGGCACGCAGATGGCGCGGTACGAGACGGAGGTGTATGCGTACCGGTGGGATGTGGCGGCGTTGAACGAGACGAGCGTCATTGGCGTGCAGCATTTTGCGGAGGTAGCCCAGTCCTTGTTATGCCCAAAGCATCCCCCCCCCCACACGGACGAAACACTTGCTAAGATGATTAGATCCCCTTCGTCTTCGCCAACCCGAACCAAACCATCACCCCTCTGGGCTCCGACCCCGCGCGTCTGGCCCTGGGCAATCTGGCCGCGAGGATGTGGACGGCGTTTGTGACGGATTTGGATCCGAACGGGCATGGCGGTATGTATCCCCCGCTGTCTTATATGAGTGAGTGGTTGAGAAGGGGTTGGCTGATTTTTGGGGGGGGGAGCCACAGTCGACGGGATCCCCCACTGGCCGCGCTATACGCCGTCGGACGGGCCGTCCAACTTCGTCTTCCGGTTGCCGCGGACGGAGAGTTATGTCGAGGCGGATACGTATCGGGCGGAGGGGATTGAGTATATCAACTCGATTGCGCGGTAGTTTTTGTTTCTGGTGGGTGCGTGAGCTGGGTGGTTGATATGTGCGTTGTCGATGGAGGATGCGGAAGGAGTGTCATGCGATAATGGGTATACATACGTGGTGTAGTGAGCATGCTATAACGGGGTATTTAAGCGATCTACCCACTGGCATGAAGTATACGATGATGGGCTTCTGAAGATCAATCTCCAGATCACGTATATCCAACCGCTAAGCTTAGTCTACTTTACCACGCCATCTCCAATACCCTTCCGCCACTCCAATCCCAGTCATGTAAAGTGACTAGGTAGCTGATGATTACATTGCTTTAGTTTTTCATTTCCAGATTCCAGGAGATTCCAGAAAAAGAGGACCAAAATAAAGAGAAAATTTTCTGTATTTGCATAAAACTCCCCACCCCTCAACAAAAATCCAATTTAGTTGATAGAGAGAAGCTTAACCTTGCTATAATCCCCAAAAAAAAGATTAGCACCGTTCCGTTGCCCTACACACCCCCAAAAACCAACACCCTCAAAGCAAACCCCAAGAAAGAGACGAAGGGTACTCACAAAACAAGAGTCGAGTTAGCAGGGATCAACCCGGGGAAGCCACGGGCTCCGTAGCCGTAGTCACTGTTGGCACAGCAGTACATTAGTCTAAGTTGGACTGGATCGATGGTCCATCCGCCATCTCTTTACTTCGCCAGAAGGGCGAAGGCAAAGGTGAGGGCAAAGGCAAAGGCAAAGGTAAAGGGCAAAGGGCAAAGGGCAAAGGGGCGACGACATACGGCGAAATAGTCAAGACGGCCTCCTCGCCGACGTTCATGGTGGGGACGCCCTCGTCCCAGCCCTTGATGACCTGGCCCACGCCGATCTGGACCTTGAAGGGGCCGCGGCCGGGGTTGAGGGAGCTGTCGAATCTGATTTCTAAGTTAGGATTTGGTTTCAGGATGGGAGATCGGATCGGATCGAAATCGAATCGGGAATGTTCATTTTTAAAGTATAGGGGGAAAGTGGGAGAGCGAGGTAGCTAGCTAGGTAGCTAGCTAGCTAGCTCTTCTGCTATGCTATTTTTTCCATGTCCCGGGAGGGGAGGGGAGTTGGGGATGGAGGTGGGTTTTCTGCGGCTGAGCCACGGACGGAAGATGTAGGCAGGGAATGCTAAGGGCAAGCAAGATAAAGGGCAAGGGAACGGTAAAGGGGACGGCAAAGGGGAAAACGCAACTTGTCGCCCATGTTGTTCTCGGCGCCCTCCTTGTACAGGCATCCGGTGTAGTGGATGGAGACGTAGTCGCCCTTGACGGGCTTCTGGTCGGAGGTACCGGGGGTGAGGATGGTCTTGGTGACGCCCATTTTGGATGGATTATTTGGGGGATTGGTGGTAGTGTAGTGTAGTTTGTGGCGGGGTTGCGAGAGGGAGAGTGAAAGGGAAAGAAACTGAGGAAAGGAAGAAAAAAAGAAGGTTAGGTTAGTTTAAAGGTTTCCTTCCCAAAGCAAAGCAAAGCCGAAGTGGGGGGGCGGACGGCGGCGGGGATTAATTACAGTCTACTCATACTCTGGAACATCAGATACGGTCCTGGAGTACCGGTACGCAACTACTCAACTCAACTAGAGTTTGGGATGGATCATGTTTGCACAGTACGTAACTACCTAGGTAGTCAATGTTTGTTGGGCTTGGGGGGTGGAAAACACCGGGTTTAGCGTTTGGATAGATCAATTTCATTATCATTTGTTTTCCAAGCTTTGATGATGCTGCCCCTCCCTCAATCTAGACCGCGTTTGTTGTGGGTTTCGCTTGGCGCGGGAGATTCTTTTTTTTTGTCTGTCTGTGTTTGTCGCGGTTGGAGACGCTCGTTCTGCAATCACAGTTGAGGTTTGGTTATTTGTAAACTATTGAGGAATATTAAAATTGATATGAATCGTGTCGAAGGTGCTTGGGATCTCTTATTGGGTGGAGGGGGAACGGGACAGATCGTCGGGACGCTTCCTCTCTTCTCGGGGCTCTGCTTCTGCCGCCTGTGCCGCATTTGCCATTGCCGTTGCCAGTTGATGTCATTTGTCCCGGAGATTGACAATACATCCTGGATGTGTTTGCTTGGATGTGTTTGTACCGTATGTGATATCGGGGTGATTAGACTAGTCGACCCCAAGTGTCTCGAATTGATAGATAGAGAGGTTGATTGATTGATATAGTATGTACTGTACTCTGCCAGAAAATAAGTACCGTGCAGATAGTCCCCCATGTATCACAAAAAGCAAATCCCCTGCATGCTCCGAGCTCTTCCCATGCAGACCCCAAAATCAGGCTGCAGTAGCGTTGGCCCCCCAAAACGGCAACTTCTTCATCTCTGCCACCGACATGCCCCGAACGCGCGTGCGAGGGAACCGCGGATCAACGACCCCGTCGTCTTGATCGGATAACGCCAGATAATGCACCGTCGTGATGCCCACGGCCTCGAGCCACGGCAGCACGCGGTGGTAGTTCAGCCCTACCTGGTCCAGCCCGTGGCTGTCGTCCGAGAGCACGAAGCGGCCGCCGAGGGCGAGGAATTCCTGTTGCGGTGCATGCATTAGCCCCAAGCATCATACCCCTCCAGCTACAAACACAACCCCCCTCCCCGATTCCAGTCTGATAAGAAACAAGAAAAAAAAAAAACTCACCCGACAAACCTCCCCCATCGGATACGGCTCGCGCATCCCCTTCCGCAACGCCGCCGAATTCACCTCCAGCAGACCCCCGTAGCCCGCCACGAACGCCAGGTTGCGGCGCACCTTGGCCCAGACCCCATCTTCGTGGAGACCCCACCGCCGCAGACTCCCATCGGGCTCGTCGCTCTTCAACCGGATCAGATCGAAATGCCCGACGACCAGCGGCCGCACCTGCCGCAGCATCGCCAGCTGCTCGTCGAAGTAGGCCGCGAACAGGCGCTCGTCGGAGCCGCCGGCGGCGGCGCGGGCCTGCTCGTACATGGCGCGGTCGTAGTCGATGGGCACGGTGCAGGTGTGGTGGATCGAGCCCATGAAGAAGTCGAAGGGGTGGGCGGCCAGGGACTGCTGGATCAGGGCGAGGGAGCCCGGTTCGCGGATCCAGTCGATCTCGAAGCCGATGAGGATGTTGATTCCTGCCGCGCTGTACTTGGCGCGTAGGCGCGTGGCTTCGGCGTAGTAGGCTTTTTCGTTGGCGAGGTGGCTTTCTTCGGTGTTGCCGGCTTCGATCTTGGGGGTTTTTTGTTTTTTTCAGTTGGGGTAGATATGGGGGAGAAGGGGTTGAGGCAGACCTCTTCAGGGTAAAAGTCCTCCTGGTGTCGGGGCATGTGCTCGGTTAGACAGAAGGTGTGGAAGCGTTTCTGGATGGCTAGTTGGATGATCTCCTCCAGGGAGTCCTTGGCGTGGCCGGGGCAGAATTGCCCTGAGTGGCTGTGGTGGGAGAAGGGCATCTTTTGGCATTGATCAGTTTGGGGTTTGTATGTGGTGATGGCATGGTGTTTGGGGGATTATCAGGGATGACAAAGAAGATGATGATGGTGATGCTCACGATGACTGCTTACCCCGCGATGAGGAGGGGTAGTTGTGACTTCTAGGTTGATGTTGTAAAATTGGTCTTTCCAAACATGAAGAAGAATATCCAACTTTATTCGGTATATGCAAGGTGGTTCGACCGTTGCACACCGTACTGTACAAAAGTATGTATAGTCGGGGTGGATTGCGGAGGTCGAGATTCCTACTCTCTTTTTATGGGGCCCGAATCAAGCAATCATCAGCCGGGCCCGGAGCACGCTGTTACTTCCTGTCTACCTCACTCTCACGGGCTAGCCTAGGTAAAAATTCCTATCGCATATCATATGACTAGCTATACAGGGGTTCAATAGCATAAACATGTATTCGTTGCTCTCATCATCCATCTCGATGATTATCGCCTCGCCTGAAGCTCCAAGAGCAAGAACCTAATACCGTGCCTTATCTTATAGACAGCGACAACCCAGCCCTCCCTCATCTTCAACCTCAACCACCCCATCCTGATACCTTTAACCTAACCCCCAGTCCATCACAGTCCAGCACAGCACAGCACATCTAACCCACAAGCCACAGCATACCCCCGTCTTGCAATAGCCATTACCCATAAAACCCTCCACCCCCATAAACCATAACAATACTCCGTGCACCCAAAACACCCAAACGCTTTAACCAACCCCCCCCCGCCATAAAAAAACCTCATCCCGCCGCCAAAACCATCGCAACCACATACTCCCCATCATGCGAAATCGACAACTTGCCCACCCTGCCACCACCCCCACCCTCACCTTTCTGCCCATCCCCATCGCCCCCCAACCCATCCAGAAACACCACCTCCGGCCGCCCCTCATCGACCTCACTCACCCGCACAACCACCTCCTTCCACCCGAGCTGCGCGGCGCCCCGCGGCGCCGCCTTCCGCGCGGCCTCCTTGGCGGCGAACCGCCCCGCGAGCCAGCGGGTCATGTCCGGGGTGATCGTCACGGGGGGTAGCGAAGATGAAGGATGGGGATGGGGTTGGGGTTTTGCTTGGGGCTGGGGATTGTGTACATGTAGAGGTACCAGGGAGGGGGACAGCTGGAAGCGCGCGCGGAAGTCGGCGTGTTCGCGGGGGTGCAGGATGCGGCGGGTGAAGCGGGCGAGGTAGGTGCCGTTCTGGCGGGTGAGGAGGCGGGCGATGCGGGGGAGGTGGACGATGTCGGTGCCGATGTTGAGGGCGAGGGGGAAGGGGGTTGGGGGTTTCATTTTCGTAGTCTGCGGAGTCGTGGGGTGGGAAGTGTGTATGGTGTGGGTGGGTGGGTGGGTGGGTTTGTTGATGGTGGTGTGAGGTGATGGTAGAGAAATTGAGGATGGGAGAGGGTCGGGTCAGGTGACTGGTTTTGGTTGGGATTAGGCGCACATTGAGGATATCTAGTTGGGGACTGACGGGTGTAGACATGTCAAGTTATTCAATTGATCTGTTGAATGATCTGTTGAAGTTGAGGTTTGGAGGTGTGTTTTTCTAGTTGGAGCTGTTCGTGTCATCAAGCTCGATATGCCTTTGGCCTGGAATTGTCCTTCATGTTAGAAGTTAAAGCACGCCATTGCTACCCGGCTTTACAACTCATACGACCGATCTACTGTCCAAAACATCTCCAGACCAATTGAAGCAAGCATGGTGTATACTCTATATGTACAGATTCACACCTGACCCTCAGAAGTCAACCCGGTCAGACGTTTCAAGCGCCAAAGGCATGGCCCAACTCGGCCACGTTGCATCTGGGTCTAGCACCGGTGTATAATCGACTCGACTGGATCTTGCACGTCGGGCACATTAGATTCAACTAGTCCTCAACTCTAGCATGGGATACATCGGCTTTAATGATCCTTCTTCTTGTCGTCTCCATTCACCTGCTTCAGGAAGTCCCTGTAGCCAATTCGTTAGCTCGAGCGCGGTTGCGGTAGTTGGGTGCACCCTGCATCTGAATTGCAGGCCCTAGCGGATCAAGCAGCCGAGGGCTGACAGGGAGTGGCATCCAGCCCTTCGCGAGTATCTTTCACAAGCCGCCGCCTCCGCCGCTTTTCCGCAGCTCAAGCAGCTGAAGTTGCATCCGATAGTCTTGAAGGGCCGCCATTTCGAGAGTGGGAATATGTATGCATTCTGCCTGCTTAGGGTCTTTGGCAACGTACGTGATGAATTCCTCCTCGTCCTTAGAGGAAGCCTGGATAGGAGGAGTAGCGGGCTTGGGCTGGCTGCCACCGCCCATGGCAAGCTTGACACCACCGAAGAGGGCACCGAGAACACCCATGGCGAGCTAGAGAGCGTGTCCCCGTTAGTCATTGATCCTCATGACGCAGGTCAGACACCGTCCATCCCACAACACCTGGACAGAAATTGGCCTCGGACGACAGGGAGGGCCGGGCAGAGGTCGGGTGCGAGTAACCGTCGCAGCGGAGTACGTACATAGTGAGAGCCGACCTTCTTGCCGGCGATCTGGTAGTAGACGACCATGGTGACGGATTGGAGAGGGAGGGAGTTAGATGGAGTTTGGCGGAGCAGCGGTGCGATGATAGGTTCCTGCGCGAATAAGTCGAACGGACGGCAGCGGAGGAAGTTGCGGCTGTTGGTTCTTCCCCGATTGGGTATGGTAGGCTGACTCAGTAATGAGTCAGCAGCGGACAGCCGCCCCGCTGAGTCAGAGCTGCGTCAGCAGCTCCAGCTAGCTATGCTCCCTCACGTGACCTACAGCTTCCTCCGGGAACGTCCGACGGCGGATGACGTTCGGGAAGCAATCACGGGATATCAGCTGATCTGATACTGTCTGTATGGGCCGATGATGTCCTCATGCTCTCCTCAACAATAATTCCATTTGTTATAAGACGATCCAAATCGGTCATCTACAATTGGACTGATCCAACAATGTGATGGTCAGAGTCACCAACAGTACACACAACAGCTTAACCTCATCAGAGCCAACTCAATCCTAAGCCGTTGACCAACGCAGCGTGCATCTACCAGCCATGAGGTCACTACTTGGACTGTAAGTGATTGTGGCGGTGTTTCATGCCCAGCAAAGCTGCTGCTGGCTTCCTGTTTCCCGACAGACCTCGGGGCGAGAAAGCAAGACACGGAGAGCCTCCATTCTGGCTATGACGGGCAAGATTTACCCCGGCTATTGCATGGAATGATCTGTTGGGGGCAGCTGCCCCTTCTTCTACTTTTTTTGGTTGCTTCGGTTTTCTTCTTCTTCTTCTTCTTCTTCTTCTTCTCTTCTTACATTCCTCCCTCACTTTTTCTCTCAGTCTTTCTCTCTTTTGTGTAATTCAATTTCACTTCTCCTCCCTTCATTACACTGCATACACCCCTTGCAACCTTCTGTCTCTACACCATATAATCCTCAGTAAGTCAATATTCCCCCCATCTTCCCAGTCAGGACACCTCACTTATTCATCACTCAGCTTCCGGAACTCCTCACGCGACCGCATCATGATTTGGGGGAAACAGCAAGACAAAGCGCCCGAGGTGGTACAGCAACCCATTCCGCGCGAGAAGCTGCCGGATCAGCTTCAGAAGCTCGTTGACCACGACGATGGCTTCTACGATGACATTTATTCCTCCTAGTATGTCGTTCCCTGTTTCCTGGGGCCGTTGCGACGCACCGTCCCTCGCCCGACCACCTCCGCGTCTCCCCGCATTCTTCCCCGCAAGCGCCGGACTGCAATTGTCCGCTAGTCGGTGCGATCATCCCGACGCCAGCCCAGGCAGCAGCAACCATCAATTTAATACGCGGAAAAATTTTGGGGATCAATCTAACCCATCGCCAGCTCTGTTGACTCCACGGAAACCCCCTACCGATATGCCGGTTACGCGACTCGTCTTCGCACGATTCTGCTCTCCGCCCACCGCTATGTCGCCTACACCTCTGACATCGGCGAATCCTTCCGCCCCGTCGCGCACCCGTGGCTCGTGCGCTCCGCCTACGGTATTTCATGGACGTATTTGATCGGCGACGTCGCGCACGAAGGATACAAGGCCTACCTGCGCAACCGCAGCCTGCTCGCCCCGCCCTGTGAGGCCTACAAAGATGCCAGCGACCTCTCTCCTGAACAAGTCGCCAAGGGCATGGTGACCGGCAACCTGACCAAGCCTCTCACCTCGACATCGACCGACACGCTCACTCCCTGGCCCACCACCGAGATTCCCCTCATCGAGGACTATCGCATGGTGATGGCCAAGCGCGCCGTGTTCCAGAGTATAGCCAGTATGGGTCTGCCGGCCTTCACCATTCATTCCGTCGTGAAATACTCGGGCCGGGTGTTCAAGAAATCATCGAACACTTTCCTCCGCACCTGGTCTCCCATCGGAGTAAGTTCCTCTGCAATCTGAAACTACCACCGCAAAGACAATTGACCGATTACCACAGCTCGGTCTGGCCGTCGTTCCCTTCCTCCCGTATCTCTTCGATGAGCCCGTCGAAGAAGCCGTCGAGTGGGCCTTTAGCCGCGGGCTCTGGCTTTACGGCGGCGACGAAGCCGTCCGCCCCCTCCCTCCGCCAAAGGCAGCCCACGTCTCTCAGGACGAAGCCACCTCCCTCAGCCACTACCTCCGCGTGCAGACGGAAAAGCACAACAAAGAGTCGCTGGGCTCCGACGCCAGTGTCTCCGACTCGGCCGCCAACCTCTCCTGGGAGGCATACAAGGAGGAGCGCCAACGAGCGAAGGAGCAGCGCCAGCGGGAGCGCGAGCAGCACGGCCACACGGGTCCGCTCTCTTTTCTGAAGGGATTCACCAAGGAAAAGACGGAATAAAGCTCCCAATTTGCCACTATATTGCTATATTGCTTCCTTGATACCAGATTCCACTATGCATCTCCTGGACCACTTCAGCGTTTGCCTGGCGCTCAGGACATTTAGTTTCTATATGTATATAAGTTAGCGGGTCTATCCTCTTTACTCATGATTTTTTTTTGGCAGGATCGTATCAGTCTATTGATTGTCTGTTTGACCACGTAACTCTATCCAGGGTGGATGGCTATTGGATATGAGGTAGGATATTTGCCGCTACTATCCACGAACTGAATCCATCACAATTAGACGGAGATGCACCCACACCACCCACACTTGAAGCTATAACATTTCCATACATGTCCTCGCCCACAGACAAGAGGATAACCGAGTATAATTCCAAATTCCACCATACGAACCGAACCCGCTGCATGAAACTTATTCTGACCACCTTCTCTCCCGGCCGCCCTCCCTCTCCCAGGCCGGTCTTCCACTTCCAGGAACACGTGGAGTATGACCACCCGAGGCGAGACAACCAAAATAGAAATCAATGAACTTCAGTGAAGATAGCAAGCTCTCGCAAAATGCAATGCATCTCTATATACATACCACAAAAAGCCTCATCTCGAAAAGGGAAGAACAGAACCGCCCCCCCCCCAATCCCCCCCGTCCTCCCTTAGCACCGAAGATAGTGCTCAAACGATACACTAAAGAAAGAAGTCCTATATAGTCAAGCAATAATACTTTAGAACGGTACGCACAACCACACACACGCCATTCAATCGAGCCGGGAATTATATTTCTTGCTATGCAAAAGCCAGATGAGAATTTGATGAGAATGCAGGTTTTGGTGGGAAGTTAATGGGCAAGTTGAGAGAGGGAGGGAGAGAATTATAGTTTGCACGCAGGCACCTGGGGCGGTTGTATGACAGGGACTAAAGAAGACTTTGCTATGTTGTAGAGAGAATGAGGGCAGAACAGAAGGGTTCGCTGGATTTCATGGACCGGTTGACCGCCCTAGGCTCCACCAGCGGTAAATCAGTCATCCTTGGATTGATCCCTGGATGGATGAGTCCTGCTCGATCGTCCAGGTGACGGGGTGGGGAAGCGGCCTCTGAGGGTCGAGGATGAGGATGTGGAGGATGTTCCGTTGGGGAGGAGGGAGGTCGATGCTGATGTTGATGGGGGATTGCGGTCGAGGTCGTTGCGACGTGCGGTTCCTCTGTCCGCTGGACCTCCGGGAGGGTTGGGTGCTGCCGGCTCTAGTCCATCGTTCAGCTCGATGAGATCGCCCAGATTGCGACGGCCGCTGGTTTGGAGGATCTGGACCGTGGGGTCGGTGCTGGTGGGGGTGCCGCTTGCTTGCTGCAGGTCGTTGAGGCTGGCTTTGGCGCGACTGGTCATCTTGCGGACCCACGATTCGACGGCCCCGCCGATGTTCTCGAGGCCCGTGGGGGTGTTGGAGACGGCGGGGGCGGTGGGAGTATCGGAGGTGGTGTCGAAGTTCGGGGGTCGGGTGGCGGGCGCGAGGTTGGGGAGGTGCTGCGCGAAGAACTTGCTCAGTCCGTCCATCGCGGGGCCCGGGGCGGTGATGTCGCGGTCGAGTGTGCCGACGCCGGGGGCGGAGAATTGAATGCCGCTGTGTTGGCGCTGATGCCGGGTTCCGGGCCTCCTGGGGTTTTTAGGGTTCTTGGGAGAAGAGGGGTCGGTGGACTGGCGATTCCATTGGAATATGGGCGGCTGGAAGGACTGGGGTTCAGCCGGTGATGAGGATACAGAGGAGGCTGTTGCCGTTCGTGCCTGATCCGAGGATGGTGATGGTACGGAGTCGGTATACGACACCGATTTTCGCCGTGTGCGTGGGAAAAACCCCAATGCGCCTCGAGGAATGCGCCCTATCTCGACTGGCGCACTGAATCCTTCGATCTCTACCCAGGACTCGTGCTTCCACACTCGGTCCCCGTCTCCTTCGTGCATAGTGCTTGGTGGTTCCGTCTTCGGATGTCCCGGTACCGCAGTTGGTGCGATCGAGCTTCCATTCAAGTCTTCCAGAGACTCATGGGTACCGTTCAGTAGGTCAGCGTCGGGCCCACTCCATTTTGGCCGTCCTTTGATCGAGCAAGCGGCAACCGGCAGGAGAACCGTTTTCCGGCCTTGTATGCTATCGCTGGGCCAGAATCCGTTGGCCTTTCGGAAAATTGCCGGCTGGCAGCCATATCGTATCGTAACACCGGTGATGGTATCTGTCGGTTGCACATGGTGTATGTATACTAGCGCGTCCTCGTCCTGCTCCGGGTCAATGTTGGAATGACCCGTTTGGTCGCTCGAGTCCCGCCGCTTGTGTCGCGAACCGGGTGCCCAAGCTGACCCGGTGTCGGCCAGCAGAAGAGCCTCGCGTTTCTTTGCCTGCACCAATGCCTGCCGTTCTTCCTTGGTCCCCGCTCCAATTTCCGGTGTCGACGGAGCCGATGGTCCCCATGACGCAGGTATGGATGAACGAGGGGGTGGTCTCGAATATGAGTCCGGTCGGGAGGGTTTCCGGGCATGACCTCGCGCGGTGCCGTTGGGAGCCGGTCGCGCAATATCGCTCCCTAATACCGATGAGGCCAAGCTTTGCAGCGACGACCAGGATGCGTCCAGAAAATCTATAGATGAATATATTGTCTCAGCTAACTTGGATCCAGTCCTCGTGTCTTTGACGGAACCCACCTAGGGAGCTGTTTCCTCGATTGCGGTTGAAGGATTCGGTAGCTCGAGATGGATGTCTCATCGGAATAGGGGACACTCCGCGGGATGGGTTTGGCGATGGAGTGGCACCGCGGGAGCGGACGACCGACTCCGAGGACAGCATCGACGACAGTCCGGAGGACTGCATTTGCCTCCCACCATCCTCATTGTCACTGTCGACGATGGAGATCAAGCGGCGAGTTCGCGGTCGCACCGTTGATGTGGATCTAGTGCTTGCGGTCCCGGGGTTGAAGGCTTCGGCCAAGCCGCTGTTGGAACTCATCCCTGGCTGTGGGAAGGAAGGATAATAAGGGGTTGTAGATGTTGTCAGCTCTCCGGAGCGAGCTTAGCTTGGATGAGATCGCCCAGGCACTGATTGCCATCGGAGGTCTCTATCTCAGACCATTCGTCATGCGGCGGTTGTGGTTATCGCATCCGTGTCCTAATCGTGAAACACCCGCGGCACCTGGAGATTATCAGGACAGTAGCACCCGTGCTTTGGCCCGATTGTGTAGAATGTATCGATTTCCGGGATATAGGCCCTGAGCCACCCTTGAGAGTTGAGCTGCGTTTGGGGGGAGGGGAGGCTTTGAGGGGGGATGGAAGCGCGGGATAAGAGAAAGTAAGTATGGAGTCTAGTCCCTTGTGATGACGACTCCAGGTCGAGAGGGGGAGTTGATCAATCGTACTTGAGGCGGGGTGATTGTCTCCTGATCGGTCGGGACAGAACGTCAAAGGAATTCGGGGAATTTTGAAGCTGGAGAAGAGAATGGAGAAGGACAGCGGCGACGATTGAGAAGGAGAATAAGGCGAGTGGGAACCGCTTGATCGGCAAGAAGCCTTCCCAAAGTACTCCGTACAGACAGTAGTTAAGTTAACTACCAGTAGTAATCTCATGAGTCTCTCTCTCTCTTAACTTGTCTCGCCCTCCCTTGACGTCGCCCGGTGGCGTACCGATTCATACTGTATGGTACCATTTCACACCACCGAAATTGGCTGGCCGCGTAATCGGGTTACAATACCATTTCCATTGCTAATGCCTAGAATAGCGAGTATCCGAGTATCTTGTCCCAAGCATCTCATCCCAAGCATCGATGATGATAATACACAGGGGGTCCAGGAACAGTCTATGAACAGAAGTATGTCTAGTAAGCCCTGTCGCAGACAGAATCGATTGCACAAAGCCAGCATGCCAGTTATCATCACTGGCAACAATTCGCGCTTAGATAGCCAAGCCAAAGAACCAGAGAGAGAAAAAAAGAAGAAGAAAGAAAAAGAAGAAAGAGAAAAAAAAAAAAAAAAAAAAAACGCCGGGCCCATCGGACAAGTATAGATTGACATGGAGGTAAAATGCACAGGAAAATCCAATGATGCCGGATGAAGAAGAGAAATGATTTACTCGGGAGGTTCGGCCATCTCCGCCGGTCGTGTCTCTGCTTCAGACGTCGCTTCAGACTCGGTACTCCATTCCTTCTCCGAGTTCGCTTTGGCCTGAACCTGAGTGGGTGGAGGAATGACCCGAACACCACCGGCACGGCTGAAGAAATCCTCCGTCCGTAGGCCACGGACATCCTTGGGGTCTACTGAAGCCATCTGCTGCCCATCAGCCTTCTTTTGTCGGATCAACTCTCGCACCGGAACCATGGCCGCATCACGGCACGCCTCCTTGATATCACTGCCGGACATGCCTGACATGGCTTTAACGAGGTAGTGCAGATCGAAGTTATCCCGGTCGACCTTGGTGTCCTTCAAGATTAGACTAAGAATCCGCAGGCGCTGTGCTGCGGGCGGGAGTACGACCGGGAACTTCTTCGGCATTCGTCGGAGGATGGCGTCGTCGATATCTTGGATACGATTGGTGGCACCCAGAACAACCACGCGCTGAGGTTCTCCCAAGGAGTTTGCGGATGTGAGACCGTCCCAATGTGTCATGAATTCTGCCTTGACCATGCCACTGGCCTCATGTTCTCCGCTCCGTCTCGTGCCCAGCACGGCATCAATCTCATCAATAAAAACAATGGAGGGTTGAAGTTTTCGGGCTAGCGAGAATACTGCATTGACGAGCTTGTTGGAGTCGCCGTACCATTTCTCCGTCAATGTTGAGATGTGTAGGTTGATGAAGCATGCGCCGCTCTCGTGAGCCAACGCTTTCGCAAGCATAGTCTTTCCGCAGCCAGGCGGTCCGTACAGTAAGACACCCGATGGCGCGGTCAAGAGTGAGGAGGACGAGGAATATAGGTGGGGCATCGTAAGGGGGTATATAACAGACTCTTTCAGCTCCTCGATGATATCGTCCAGGCCGCCGATATCTTCGAAGGACACATGAATATCGTCCGGAGCAACCACATCCATCGCGATGGCTTGTTCATATTGGTTGAGAGCCAAGTCGCCCCTCTTGGTTCGACTCTTCTCTTTGCGCCCGCGGCGCGGCGAACCCTCGTCTGATTCATCCCCGCCGTCAAGTTTCCGTAGGATGGCAGCGGATTTGCGTCGTTGTTCTTCCTTTTTCTGACTTTCGGGATCAAAGTCGAGGCGCGAGATAAGGTATCGGATGAGGAAGTATGCAGATGCAGACTACTCACGATCTGTCAGTATTGTTCCGAGGTTCGCAGCGTCATCAACTTACTGTGCCCGCAACCATCACCAACTCCTGTAAGAACTGTTGCCATCGGGGACCACGAGCGGAAGCCATGATGACAAAATGCAGTGACTGGACTGGATATTCAGTTGTCCGCAACGTATGAAAAGTGCGAAAAGAAGCCCAGCGGTCTATTTCCAGGGTCCTAAGGCAACTTGATATGATCGCGATTGTCGCCGGGTCGGCTGTCGGCGAGCGAGCTGAGAGCTGTGGCGCTCGTCGGCGGAAGACGTGGCTTTGCCGGCAGAATCACATGCTTCACTGCCACACCGGCTGTCGTGTTAAAGCCTGAGGCTGACATGATGGTCCAGAGCACTTCGCCTTTGGCTCTCACAGCCTTCCGTATTATGACGACCCGCTCGCGTGTCGAATCAGGGGTCACCGATTGGCTGCGGGTCTTCCCCAAGGTTCCCCCAAATCAGGTACGCGGAAATGTGCGGCCATCTTTCTGATTCCCCTAAAGCTAAGCTTGACCGGGGGGATGCTGTGGCATCTGGAATACCTCGAATACCTCGAACACCTCAGCATTGTGTCTCCTTTTCCTAGATCATTTATCGGTGTAATCATTACTTGTTTCTAATGACTTTCGATTGTTTCTGACCCTCGATCTCTTTTTCTCACCTCGTCCTACCTACGTCTGCGCCTCTGCCACCGCAAACATGGCGCGACTGGGCCGCGCAGGGTTCCTCACCCTCGCCGTGGTCTTTCACCTGATCTACGCCTATTCGATCTTTGACATTTACTTCGTTAGCCCCATTGTGAGTGGGATGAAGTCGTTCCATGTGGAACGGAAACCAGGTGCCTCTGCTCCAGCCAAGCGACTCGTTCTGTTTGTCGCCGACGGCCTGCGTGCCGATAAGGCCTTCCAAGCATTGCCCGACCCCGACGAATCCGCAAATGACGACGATGAACCAATCTACCTCGCCCCATTCATTCGTTCTCGCGTGCTGTCCCACGGCACTTTTGGCATTTCCCATACCCGTGTTCCAACCGAATCCAGACCGGGCCATGTTGCCCTCATTGCAGGTCTATATGAGGACGTTTCGGCAGTGACCACAGGATGGAAGCTGAACCCGGTGAACTTCGACAGTGTCTTCAACCGGAGTCGGCATACATGGAGCTGGGGAAGTCCGGACATTCTGCCCATGTTCAAGGAAGGTGCGGTTCCAGATAGAGTGGATGCAGACACATACGGCGAGGAGGCGGAGGACTTTACTTCGGATGCGACAAAGCTTGACACCTGGGTCTTCGATAAGGTCAAGGAACTTTTCCAATCCGCGAAACATGATCCTGAGCTAGATGCCAAGCTGCGCGACGACAAGCTTGTATTCTTTCTGCATCTTCTCGGCCTTGATACAACTGGCCATGGCTATCGCCCGTACTCGAAGGAGTATTTGAGCAACATAAAGGTGGTGGACCGAGGTGTGCAGGAGATAACTCAGCTAGTGGAAGAATTCTACGGAGACGAGCAGACGGCATTTGTTTTCACCGCAGATCACGGCATGAGCGATTGGGGCAGTCATGGCGATGGCCACCCAGACAATACTCGGACACCTCTTGTTGTATGGGGGTCTGGCGTTGCTGGCCCAAAGATACCGCAGGAGGGTGCCTTGTCAGGACATGAAGATGGTGTGTCGCATGACTGGGGCCTGCATGGTGTTCAACGAAACGATGTTGCACAGGCCGATGTCGCGGCGCTCATGGCATACCTGGCTGGGCTTGACTTTCCAACCAACTCAGTGGGCCAGTTGCCTCTCGCCTTCCTCAATGCCAGCCCAGAGGAGAAGGCTCGTGCTGCGCTTGCGAATACCCAGGAGGTCTTGGAAATGTATAATGTGAAGGAAGAACAAAAACAGGCCGTTTTGCTCCGATATAAGCCTTACGAGCCACTCGACAATCATCGCGAGACCATTGAGGAGATCCAGAGACTCATTGCAAGCGGCGACTTTGAGAGCTCGATTGAAATGTCAGCATCGCTCTTTGCCAAAGCCCTGGAGGGTCTGCGCTATCTACAGACATATGATTGGGTTTTCCTCAGAACCATTGTGACTTTTGGATATCTAGGGTGGATTGCTTATGCTTTGACGACGGTTATTGACCTGCACGTTTTGCACGGCACATCTGACGCAAGAAGGACTGTTTTCAGCACCATGTTCTTCTCTTCCGTATTGGTTGCGCTCTTCTCTGTCTTCTGGTATCAAAAGTCCTCCTGGCGCTACTATTTCTACGGCTTTTTCCCAGTTTTCTTCTGGGAAGAAGTTTTTGCCCGCCGAAAAGCTCTTTCCGTTGGACGGGAAATTCTTTTGGGCCATGTACAATCTGCAAGCGGTTACGCCACGCTCGGTATTCAGCTATTAGTGTTTGTTGGAGTTTTAGAGGCATTGGTAAGTTTCGCTGTTTGATAGCGAAAACGATTCGCTAACGAGGTCTGACAGGTCCAATCCTACTTCCAACGGGAGATTTACACGGTCTGCTTCATTCTCGGTGCTTTTTGGCCATTGGTCTATGGCTTGGGCTTCCTGAAGAGACATCCATTCTTGTCTGCTTCCTGGTCAGTCGGGTGCCTGCTCATGAGCACTTTCACTCTGCTGCCGGCAAACAAGGTCGAGGACATTACCACTATGTAAGCGTCTCTTAAAACACGAAAGTCTGCGCAAACTGCTGACTTTATTACACAGAACCTATGGCGGTCTCTTGATGTTTTTCTCGGGTTTACTATACTTGCTTTTCGAGGATACAATCCTGGGCTATGACCAAGATTCAGGAAAACTGCCCGAGCGTCGCTCTAGCTGGGGCTCGCGCACTATCTTAGGGATGCAGGTACATTGTTCACCCCGCATAGCTTGGCGTCAAGCCATTATATGCAGTCCCGGGTCTCTCCAAATTCGTTTTTGTAACATGTGCTGACCCTAAACAGCTTGGCAAGGTCCTGCTTGCTATTATAGTCACCAGATCCAGTGCGGCGTCCCTTCAAGCTAAGCAAGGCCTCCCATTTGGTAACCAGGTTGTTGGTTGGGTTGTCCTTGGTAGGTTGCCCATCATGTAGTATTGTCTTTTCGAGAGCTAACGGGATCCCAGTCGCATCGCTCCTGCTCCCTTTTGTTCACCGACTAGCGCCCAACAGCCACTACATGCACCGGTTAATGGTCCTTTTCCTGACCTTCTCTCCGACATTTATCATCCTCACAATCTCGTACGAAGGCCTCTTCTACTTCGTATTCTGCATGACCATTATGACCTGGGTACGACTGGAGCATGCGATCTACGCATATACTTCGGCCACCAAGAAAGCGGCTCCAGCCACCAAACAGTCTAGCGTGGATGCTACGACCACCGTGGAAGGCCACGCGTATCGGTACCGGAGTCTAAGCGTGTCCGACGCTCGTGTGGCCCTTTTCTTCTTTTTTCTCCTCCAGTCGGGCTTCTTCAGCACGGGCAATATCGCATCCGTCTCCTCATTCTCACTGGACAGCGTCTACCGGCTTATTCCGATCTTCAATCCCTTCAGCCAGGGGGCGCTGCTCGTTCTCAAACTCCTCATTCCATTTGCGATCATTAGTGCGAATCTCGGGATCCTGAATCGGCGGCTCGAGGTCGCCCCTAGTGCATTGTTCATGGTGGTGATGTCCATCTCGGACATTATGACGCTGAACTTCTTTTATATGGTCCGCGACGAGGGCTCCTGGTTGGACATCGGCACAACGATCAGCCACTTCCTGATTGCCA